TTTTTTTTTTTTTTTTTTTTTGACTGCCAAAAGAAAGAGTGAGCCCAGAGGCAGGTATCTGCCTCTTCAGATGCCTACTAGCAAGGGTGATGCCTCCCCTTCAGCTTTTGGAAGAGAAGCCACTTCTGTTCCCATGTCCTTCTAGCTATCATGCTGAGAATGGGAAGGAAAGAGAAACTTTAACTTCCCTAGTTTCTGTTCTTCTCTCCATGGATGTTCATAATGCCTATTTCTCCCCCAGTGGGAAAACTTCTAGTTTTTTCTTATTGCTAAATAGTCGGTTTCATTTACTATTTTTTTTTTCTCTCTTGCCTGAAGTTCTGTCTTTTTATAGTGCTTTGTAAAGAGCTATCGAACTGGAGGACACAAACATACTAAAGGAACAGTAAGGATGCAGTCCATTTGCATTGCCACTCACAAAAAATATTCAGACTCCTAGAAATGGGGCTGGGCTTCCCTTCTTTAACAGGGAGAGCCTCTCATTTGGTAAATGGGTTGCCTCAAGCCATGGTTTCATTTAAAAACCTGTTCAATAGCTTTAAAAGCAAGTAACAACCTGTTGTCAAGAAAAATAAGTGGTGGCTTATCCTGCTCAGCTTTGTTTGGCTTTTTAAATTTCCCTCCCCTGTCCTCTGCAATGGGAGAGGGAAGTGGCTAATAACTTTGCAATTCAAAAACTGTCTTTCTCTGACAGTTGTCATGCACACCATGTTAAGGGGTGATTTTTAAGCTGCAGTTGCATCTTTTTATCCGCCAAACCTGTATGTACTTTCTCATTGTGAGGAAACGGTGTTTTTTTTGGGAATCTGAAACTTTCACATATGGGGAGAAAAAAATAGTAATGTAATATTTGGATTTCTGTTAACTGTCTGCAGCTTCTCACCTGAATTTGTTGGGTATTTTTTGCTTATTGGCCAAAACTCGAGTCAGGCTTGCAATGGGTGTGCTGTTGTGGAGAGTTGCTGAGTTCTTAACTCGGTCCCAGTGCATTGTGTAGCTTCTGTGTATCCCAAAGAAAAAAGGGTTTAAATGGACGCTACAAAAAAGCGCTGACCGTGGCGTATTCCAGAACGGCTGTCTAAGCAGCTCCACTGAATACAATCTGCCGGGCTCAGCTGCTTTGGCCCCTGCCGGCATCCAGTCCCCCCGGCCCGTCCACCAGAAGCCACGATGCAAAGCGCTCTCTGTCCGTCCCTTTCCCTTTTTGTCTATCAATCCCCTGGGATGCTGGCTTGGCCAGCTGGGACCTTGACAGCCAGGTTGCAAAATGCTGCTGCAGGGGGAAGAGCCCTCTCTCCTCTCTCTCTCTCTCTCTCTCTTGCTCCTGCCCTGAGGGAGAAGGCTCCCCTTCATGGGGAACCTCCTCGGTGCCCTGAGGGGAGTCTCCCCGGGGCTCAGGCCTGCACGGCGGCTCCAAGTGCTTCCCTCCCACCTGCCAATCGCTTTGCAATGGGCAGAAAACAGTATCTCCGGCCCCTCCTGCAGCAGCGCAGGGTTGAAGGGATTGAGCTGCCTCTACCGGGCCCCCGCAATATTCAAAGGGGGCGTGGCTCGCCGCCATCAATAGCGAGAGGGGCGTGGCCAATCCGCCTCAGCACTTGTGATCCCTGTGCCCCGCTACACGCGCCCCCTCCCTGGAAATGGCTTCCGCTGGGGGTACCGGAAGTCCCCTCGGAGCCTAGCGCGGCGTTCCCGCCTTTTTTGAGGGGGGGAGGGGCGGCGCTGCGACTCGCAGCCCCTGTCCCGCTGCTCCCCGGAGTCTGGAGGAGGAGGATGGCAGCAGCCTTCTTGTCCTGCCTGTGAGGGGGCAGAGGGATGGCAGGGCTGAGCAAAGCCTCAGACTGGAGGGGGGGGGGGGGGTGGGGGGGTGGGGAAAAACCCCAGACGGGGGGGGGGGGGGGGGGTTGGTTTGTTTTGCTTTTGTTTTTTGTTTTTGTTTTTTTTTTTTTTTTTTTGGGGGGGGGGGGGGGGGGGTTGGTTTGTTTTGCTTTTGTTTTTTGTTTTTGTTTTTTTTTTTTTTTTTTTGGGGGGGGGGGGGGGGGGGTTGGTTTGTTTTGCTTTTGTTTTTTGTTTTTGTTTTTTTTTTTTTTGGAAGGAGGGGGAAGGAGGAAGAAAGTTTGGGCATTGTTATCTCAAGAAATTCAGTCCATCTCCACCACCCAGCCTTCCTCTGCCTGAGGGACAAATTGCAGCCCCCAAATTCAGAGAAATGCAAGCATCTCTCCTGCTCTCAGTTTAGAAACCAGCTGTTGAGACCAACTAAGAAATGGCCAAAAAAAAAAAAGTCTTTCTGCAAGATTGCAGGCACATGCACTTCATTTGGCTCCAGGAGGCGGGGAATTAAAGATGGTAAAGCGTCCTCCATTGGTAGGAAACTTAATCTTATTTATTTTTGCATGGAGGGAGTGAAGTCTGGTCCCTTGGGGTTACTGTTCACTGTGGAGGTCAGGCAGGATGATGTCCCTGTTGGGCACATGTGCCTGAAAGCTTGCAGAAGATGACCAATTCTTTTTTATTCGGTTCGGACATGATACCTTTGATTAGACCAAGAGTTGTAGATTTTGGCATTTTCTTTTGGTCTCAGACCAACACGGCCACCCAGTCCAGCTCTTCAGATCTCTCTCTTCTGTTTCTCAGATGTAAGGGACCCTATCTGAGGCAGGCTGAGCCCTGTCCAATTCAATACATCTCAGATTTGACTCCTTCCACCAGAAGGGATCTTTTAAAATCTGCAGTTATGAAATAACAGTTCCTCACTAACTTCTTCTTCTTATTATTATTCTCTCCCCACCCTTCTTGCATTGACAGGCCTCTGAAGCAAAGGAGCATGTAAGAAAACCTCAGTCTGGCATTTCGTAGTGTTTTATGCCACCTAAAAATGCGGCAGAAGAGAACATCTGCTCTCCTGGTGTTGTCTTTCAAATTCTTCTGTGCTCTGTCCGTGGCGGCGAGCTGGCTTTTGAAAAAGAGATGACTTCTGCAGGCTGTATGCAGAGCTGACTTGAGGGAAGACAGCATGACTTACAATGGATGCTCATCCTGAAGGAGGAATTCTGTACACCAGAGCTGAAACAAGGACACCTTGGAGCAAGCATCAAAGGGACTCCGGCAGGATGTTTATCAGCATCAGGAAAGTCAGAAAGTTTGTGCAGTTACTTGCCACTTGCTGCATAGTAGGTCTCATGATTTTCTGGACGCCCCTTGATAATACCGTTGTGAGCCATATGAAGTCCTATTCTTACAGATACCTCATAAATAGCTACAACTTTGTGAATGACAGCCTGTCTGTTAGCAAGCACAGTTCGGACAGAGTAGCAAGGTACCCATACTTGATCAATCACAAGGAGAAATGCCAACAGCAAGATGTCCTCCTCCTATTGTTTGTAAAGACTTCTCCTGAAAACCGGCATCGGCGCAATGCGATTAGACAAACATGGGGTAATGAGAACTATGTCCATTCTCAACTGAATGCCACCATTAAAGTGGTTTTTGCTTTGGGGCAACTAAGAGATCGTACGCAGCAAGCACAAGTGCAAAGAAAACTTATCTTAGAAGACCAGAAATATAGTGACTTGATTCAGAAAGACTTCCTGGATACTTTTCACAATCTTACCCTTAAGTTACTTCTGCAGTTTAGCTGGGTGAATGCTTACTGTCCTCATGCAAAGTTTATTATGTCTGCTGATGATGACATCTTTATCCACATGCCAAACCTTGTGGCTTATCTTCAAAGTCTTGCCCAAATGGGAGTTCAAGATCTCTGGATTGGCCGTGTCCATCGTGGCTCCCCTCCCGTGCGAGATAAGTCGAGCAAATACTATGTCCCATATGAAATGTACCCATGGTCTTCATATCCTGACTACACAGCTGGGGCTGCCTATGTAATATCAAGCGATGTAGCAGCTAAAGTATATGAGGCTTCACAGACTCTTAATACAAGCCTCTATATAGATGATGTTTTCATGGGTCTCTGTGCCAATAAAATGGGAATTGTACCACAATATCATGCATTTTTTTCTGGGGAAGGGAAGGCTCCATATCATCCTTGTATTTACAACAAAATGATGACTTCTCATGGACATGTAAAAGACCTTCATCGCCTGTGGAAGCAGGCGACGGACCCCAAAGTCAAAAACTTTGCCTCTGGATTTCTTAATAGAGTGTACTGTAAACTTGTTAACATCTGGCTGCTTTGCAACCTACACTATGAGGACACATATCCTTGTTCTGCTGTATTTTCCTAATACTTGAATATCTGCATACAAGTTTACTGAGCCAAAATGGAACTACAACTCATAACAGTTATCTAAAATGTATGTAAACATGAAAGAGGGGACATTTAAAATGTGAATAGTTTTTTGGGGCCCGGGGGGGGTGGGAATCCTAATCTACATTGTTCAGGAACTTTACCAGAATAGCTCTTTATTACTGTATTAAACTTTCCATATGTCCACAATGATTTTACATCCTTTCCCTCTAGGAATTTGTCTTGCATAGAAGTCGGTTCATAAATTCATTTAATAATCTTTTTAGATGTGAAAATGTCCTGTGAAAAGTAAGTGAACTTGGCAAGTCCAGCATCGAGAAGCCTTGTTAACTGCATTCATTCTTAGGTTTTGAATGCCAGAGTGTAAACGGGCACAATGCTTCAAGGAAATGAAATGGCATGTCACTGATGCACCTGTTGAACAATTTTGACTATGATGTAGCACTTTCCAAAACAGGAAGTTAAACTCTTGGCTCTATGAAAGCAGGATGTAGTGGCACCTCTTAACAGTTTTGAGTAAAGAAAGTTGCATGTGTTTACTTTTTAAAAAATACTGAAAAGCAAAGCAAAACACTTCTAAAATCTACATGATCTTCAAAGTGGCGGTGGAGGTTAAAAGTTGTTAACATACTGTTTCTTAAATCCTGTGAGGAGATGGGGTGGTGGTGGAGAGTGTCCAAAATAGCTCCTTCAAGTGTTGTGAGGTCTGTTTTTAGATTGGGAGTGAATTTATGGGAGGATAAATTAATGGCTTCTCAGTGTTAACATACTTGTTTCAACAACAATTTTTTTTTTTTAGGTGTTGTTATTTATTTATTTATTTTTCCCCTCACTCAGTGGTATACATAAACCCTCTAATCTAACTCTCTGTAAGTACACTTCAGATAGGCTTTGGCCTTCCAGTGGCAAAAATGCTTGCCTCCTCTCCAGGTAGATGGCGTGTTTTTAATTTTCATGTAAAAAAAACAAACAAACAACAAAACCCTAATGTAAATAGCCAAAGCTATTACTGTTAGGCCAAACTTGATGCCCAAGTATTAACAAATTGGGATGTGCGAGAAGCTAAAAACGAGATTAGACTGTATAAAGAGGGATATGGTGGAAAATTACTGATGGAGATTCTTGAAGACCTTTTTAAGGTGCAGAATTGAAAGAGCAGGAAAAGCACTAAATGGTTTTGTCCAAAGCTAAAAAGTTTCAAGAACAGATCAATTTTGTGAATTAGGGAGTGTCAACAGAACCTGTAACCTCAACACCATTTTGAATGTTGCTCTTGGCTCTCTTGCATGATGAACAACATGACTGCATTTTAGTTTACAGTAAAACTCTGGACATGAGTGCTTGTAACTTGGCACCTCTTGGAACCATGTGCAAAATCCATAAAGCATGGTTTGGGGAGGAAGAATGGACAATCTGCCTCATTATTAGTCTTGAGTTCACTGTTTCAATAGTCTGCAAATTGGTGTTGTCATAGTCAGCAATTCTAATTGCTTTTTGTGTGGATGCAAACAGTATTGAACTGTATTTGATTTTGACAGTGGTATGAGTTCTTATGTGGATTGGATCAAAACAAGTATCACTTTAGAAGGCTTGAAATATGAATCCTTATTCAGCAGCAACAATACAAGCAAGGGATGGGGAAACTCTCTCTCTCTCTTGCTTAATAGCATTTGGGCTGTTGTAGAGTTATGGAGTTCTGGCTTCAGGATCTTTGTCCTTTCTTGGGAGCATGTCTGCTCCTTAGGTGCTCTTCCATCCTAGAGCTTCCCTCCATTCAGGCAAAGCTGCAACGTAGAGGCGCTAAAGACATGAACCATGATGTCGTCTAAGTTCACTCGAGCAGGTCTAGATTTAAGTTAATCTTTCAGCTGCTGAAACCTCCCTCCCAGAAGGGCAACAATGATAGGCATTTATAGAGAGGCAAGTGTAGGCAAGGCACAAGAGTTAGCTTCTCTCAGTTACTGGAACACAATTCATACTGGACTCTTTGCAGATTGTTTCCTTTCTCTTTTCATGGGGATAAAAGCCTGATGATGATCTACTAGAGTGGAGTAAAGCTGAAGGCAGTGGATTGTCTTGACAAACTGAACAGGAAAATCCTTTTGGGTTAACCCTAGCCAAACCCTAGTGTTGGGTCCATGGAGAGTGTACAGAAGAAGGTTTGGTGACTGATCAGCACTGTCTGGAAAAATACAGAAATTCCTTTCATCTCATTCTGCTGGCTAATGGTCCATAACTTAGTATCTTTAAATCTTGCAGTGCAATAGTCCAAGTTCATCCATGGTTTTTCTCATTAAGAGGTTTGTTGTTGTGTGTTCTTTACTGCACTGATTTACTGGTTTCATTTAATGGAAGCTAATGTCAAAAGGTTACAAGTTTTTTAGATCTAGATTTCTGCAAGAGATATTGATAAATGTCACTGGGAGTAAATTCACTCCAGAACACCCAGCTGGTGTAAAATTGTAAGAAGAACAGTATTCTTTTGGATGCAAGCCTCAACTTTTATAAAAGCTTCAGTTTTATTTGGGAATGGGGGTAAAGCATGCATAAGTGTCTGTAGGATTAGGGCTCAAGTTGACGCCTGTAACTTGTAACTTAACTTTGACATTTTTACCGATGGTGAAGTTAAGTTGGTTTTGAACACTTTGAAATGCATTTGTTTTACATGTTTAGCTTTAAAATGACAGTGGTGTTTGTAGTGTATTTTGTTGCAGTGTAAAGGGGGAAAATGGCTGTATACATTTTTTTGAAGGAAGACATGAAGGCACTCCTTCCAGAGAATGGAGAAGCTAGATCATTGTAACTTCTGGTTCTAAACATGCCCACCTTGATTTGGGTGCTATGTTTTAAGAGGCTTGTAAGCTCCAATGCAGGGCTGGGATGTTTTACTCGAAATACAAGCATCAGCCTGCATGGTCACTTATCAGTTAACAGTTTTGACACTTGCACAAAATGTTTAATGCTGAAATTTAGTTTTTATCTGTTTGTTGGTTTGCATCCATTTTTCTTTATTACTAATTTTTATACAAAAGCATAAATATTTATTCTTGAATTTTTTTGGCCTGTACTGTAAGATGTTTGTTTGTTTGTTTGTTTGTTGTAAACAGTTTCTGTTTTGAATAAACAGACTTTTGTGTGTGGTTTTTTTTTAAAATGGGTAAATGTTCTTTGTCTTTTTAAAAAACGTCCTCTAAAATTTTCCCCTAGTAATCTTGCTTTTTTTTTTTTTGGTGCTTTTAAACTAAATTATGGATGTACGTAGCCCTCTGAGGGCTTGACACCCTTAGTTGGCACGTGTGCACCCCCTCTTGTACCCATTCATCTGTGTCCAAACCTTAACTTTCCCCTTCAGCCATCTCCCTTGATCTGTCATTTATCTCTCACAATCCTCTTTCCCAGCCTGAGGCTCCATGCCATGTTCACCTTTTTTTCCTCTCTCTCACCATTAGATTAAATCTTTCCAGTGTTGTGACCAATATGCTCATCCCTAAAGGGGTAAGTATCTACCTAGGGGATATGAACATGGAAACAGCCTCACTTTTTTTTCTCAACTTCATTGCAAACTACTATCTGTCACCTTTTAAAGATCTGCCTGTATAATGATGTGGGCTCCAGTACAGGTTTTATCTTCATCTGCAAAGCTACATGCAGCATAGGAGATTTGCATTTCTATTTATTCTGTTAAGGGAGGGGATGGCAACTTGGAATTCAGGAAGTAACCTTATAATGTGACACTTGGCGTTATGTGTTTTTTGTGGTTGTATACATGGGGAACATAAACCAGTCAGTCTGCAATTGTAAGTGTCAGTACAGTGATCCAGTTTAATGTTTCATAAGCCAGAAAAAACAACACCTTTTAACCAGAAAAGCATTTTTAGTATTTGTAGGGGAAGAGTCTGGGTTATTTCCCATGAGAATTGTAAACCCATTAGACCAGGAATTAACAACATTTTTGCCACAGCAAGCTGCTGCCTATGGCTTGGGTGGGGGGGGGGGGGGGGGGGTGCACTGAAGGTCCTAGCCCCACACCTCCCTGGCAATAAGCAGATACTGTGAGGGTATTAGATAATAGGCACGTGCTATGATCCTGGTGCAGCAGAGACCAAATTAAACACAGCAAGCAATGGGATCCTAGGAGGAGATGCCTCTTCTGCTGCTGTGGCTAGAGTGTTCTGCCAATCCCCTAAACTGCTGCAGGCTGGATCCAGTTGCTGCAGGCTGGATCTGGCCCATGGGCCACAAGTTGCTGACCCCTGTGCCATCACACTTGTGGATGGGGATATCTAGATATACAGAATGAGTCTGCAACTACACTACAATGAGAACAGGGTGGGAGGGAAGGGGAATTAGGTCAGTTGCCTTCATTGTTATGGGCAGTAAGGGCTAAACTCTGGAAGGCACGTGCCACTCCAATCCCTTTGCGTCGCCCAGTCTGCTACTCCTGTTTTCTGCCTCCTGTCCTACTGTTGCTTGTCCCCTCCCTGATCTGCCATGTACCATGTGGCACATGTACTACAGACAGTCTCTGCACAAGTTGGCTACTCCTGATCTAGGATAAAGAGTGCAATCCTACTAGTTTGTATACTATTTCTTGCATGCTCTAAATGTGGTTTAAGGATTCATAGATTAAGGGTCGGAAGGGACCTAGTAGATCTTCTAGCCCGACCCCCTGCCAGGGCGGGAGAGCAACAAAAAACCCCAAAAAGAGAAACGGGACTCAAATGAGTCCAGCCAGGTAGGCATCCAGCCTCTTCTTAAAGACCCCCAGGGTAGGGGCCAGCACCACTTCCCTTGGAAGTTGGTTCCAGCTCCTAGCCGCCCTAACTGTGAAGTAGTTCTTGCGGATGTCCAATCTATACCTCCTCTCCATCAACTTGTGCCCATTACTCCTTGTTATGCCAGCGGGCGCTAGGGGAAACAGCGTCTCCCCCAAACCCTTCTGGTCCCCCCTAGTGAGTTTATAGACGGTCACCAGGTCCCCCCTCAGCCTTCTCTTGTGGAGGCTGAATAGGTTCAGGTCCTGCAGTCTCTCACTGTAGGGTCTGCCCTGTTGTCCCCGGATCATGCGGGTGGCCCTCCTCTGGACCCTCTCCATGTTGTCCACATCCCTCTTGAAATGGGGCGCACAGAACTGGACACAATACTCCAGCTGTGGCCTGACCAGCGTTGCATAGAGGGGGAGGATCACCTCCTTGGCTCTACTCGAGATGCACCTGTGGATGCACGACAAGGTCCGGTTAGCCCTGCCAACCATGACCTCGCATTGTCGGCCCATGTTCATCTTGGAGTCTATAATGACTCCAAGATCTCTTTCTGCCTCCGTGCTCTCAAGTAGGGAGTTCCCCATTGTGTAAGTAACATTAGTTACTTCACAGATTCAGTATCATTAAAATGAATCCTCAAGTTTTATGGCAAAGCCTGTCGGAGAAGGCAGCAGGCCAGCACTACCTGCACTAAAAAAAATAAAAAGATGCATATTGTATACATCTCCTGCATGTATGTGTGCATCTGCACACTCATCTTCTGCTATGAGGGGTTAGGCTCAAGGTTTTATCTTAATTTCTTTTCTGTATTAAACTAAACCTTTTTGCATGAATTTGCAAAGTTCATTCACTGTGTGCAGAAATAGCACTATAATGAAATCAATGTTCCCAATTCTAACTCTAAATTCAACAAATATTAAATGACTCTTATTGAACTCAACTTCTTCCTTCCAGCCTCTTTGTTCTAGTGAAAGTCTTTTGAGAGCCAAATGGTCTTTAAAGGTGGTGAGTAATTGAAGGACTTGCCTAGTAAGCAACTAAATCTGATCTTGGAGAAAATGAATGACCTTTTGCTTGGGTGGTCCTGAGAGGGAAATCCAGCAATTACTAGCTTCTATATTCTACTTCCCATGTAGCACAAAAGGAAAAAGTTATGTATGGACCGTAACAAGACGAATCGGTGTTCTTACCTTCTCCTACTGGAAAGATTCTCGTCGCTTTCACTCATCACTAAGATTCGGCTGGACCCACCTTGACTGGCTTCATGCATCACTTCAATCTGAATTTAGATAAGCACATGCACATATTAAAGACGCACAGTTGCTGTTCTCTGACTGCTTGCCTATTTTTAAATAAAAAGGTAGAACTTTAAATATCTGAGCAAATAACATGGCAATTTCAAATGTGGAACATGAATAGAATGTTATAAACGTCTGTGTTTACCTCTGAATTGTTGTACTCTTTCCTGTTTTAAGAAAACAACTACTCTTGGTACCAGGATTTCTTGGTTTCTTATGAAACTTTTATATTCTTTGATCTAATGTTTATGGATTTATGCACTTCTTATATAAGAAGCAACTCTTCAGCTACTCTACATCCAGTGCTGTATTTCATGGTTGATTAATGGGTTCTCAAACATGATGATATCATACCTTGTCTTTAATGATTTTTTTTTTTTACTTCAGTTGAATGCAGATCATCTTCAGACTTCTAAAAGAGGTATGTGTTAAGCAGTACAGTGTTCCAGCTTGCTGTTTCCCTTTGTGTCCTGGTAACTCTTACAAGAATCGCACAAAACAATTCTGTGGTGGTGCTAATTAGGATGCTACAGGTACTTTTAGATTCATAAAGTAGGACACGGCAATTCAACAGTCTTTGAGCTTTCCCCATATTGAACTGTCACTTCATCTCTTTGTAGACTTAGAGAATGAAGTCACAATGCTTTTCTATAGCACTTGGGGATGAGGTGATTATGGTGTGTGTATATTATATAATCAACTTCCGCTAAAGTCACTGTGGAATACAGTCAGGCTGTTGGAGTTTGTCCTTTCTGGTTTCTAAAGACCACTGGCCCAGACCTGCTTGTAAGTACAGGTGTAGTTTCGTGGAATTCACAGGGGTTACTTGTGAAAAGACTGTTCCTCTAGTTCAAGGGTTGGTAACATAAATTGTGGACAAAAGAGCAGCTCCCTATTGTAATTCATGGTGCTTTGGAAATGCCATGAGTTACAGTGATCTCCCCAGACCCAACAGAAGTTTGCTGTTGGGTCCTGGGGGTTGGAGAATCCAGTTGCTGGTTGAGACACAGCAGCGGGTCTCCTAACAATACTCCTCCTCCCAGCCCTGGTATGTTTTCAGAATGGAAGTGGGGGGAGGAAAGGGAGCAGATGGAGCTTGTTCTGGGGGTATCCTAGCTGGCACTGGAGGGGACAGCCCCTCCCACCCCTATCTTTTTGAGGTGGGGGAGGGCTCCAATTCACTTGCCCCACCCTCCAGCACTGGCAGGGGAAAAAAACAACCACCCCAGACTGAATCCCTCTACTCCCTGTCCCCACTTCCCATTCTGAAAACAGTCCTGTGGCTGGAAGGCTGTGCAGACGCAAGCTAGTGAAGCCACTCCATTTTGGAGCATCTTCATCTGAATCCTCATGCAACGAGTTTGGATTTTTGCAAGATTGGGCCCTTTTTTAAAGCGCTCTGCAGCCATGTACTTCTGTTTAGTCCTGGTTGTAGAGCACTTTGAGAGGTCAGGTAAGTGGTAATTTTTGCCCCATCTGTGCAGAGGTTGTTGCAGGACCCCTGGCACAGCTTTACGAGCACTCTTGGTGCTCTGACAAGGTGCCAGAGGATTAGAAAAGGGCCAGTGTCCTCCCCATATTCAAAAAAAGGGAAGAAAGAGGACCCAGGAAATTATAGGCCTGTTAGTCTTACCTTGGGCCTGGGGAAGCTCTTTGAGAAAATTATCCAGGTGCACATCTGCAAGGGGCAGGTAGGGGAGTGTATGTTTGGGGGCAGCCAACATGGGTTCATTAGCGGCAGGTCCTGTCAGACCAACCTGGTGGCCTTCTTTGACCATGTCCCAAAATCCTTGGATGCAGGTGTCATGGTGGACGTAGTCTTTCTGGACTTTAGGAAGGCCTTCAACACTGTCTCCCACCCCATTCTCATTGAATTAGGAGATTGTGGTGTTGATGCCTACACAGTCAGATGGGTCGCCAATTGGCTGGAGGGCCACACCCAGAGAGTGGTGGTGGACGGGTCACTTTCGACCTGGAGGGATGTGGGCAGTGGGGTCCCCCAGGGCTCGGTCCTGCACTGTTCAATATCTTCATCAGTGACTTGGACGAGGGGGTGAAAAGCACCCTGTTCAAACTTGCCGATGACACTAAGATGTGGGGAGGAGTGGGTATGCTGGATGAGAGGGACAGGCTGCAACAGGTTAGTGGTGGGTGGATGAGAACAGGATGGGATTCAATATTGACATGTGCTGGGTGATGCACCTGGGGAGGAAGAACCAGCACCATACCTACAGGCTGGGGAACTCCCTTCTGATCAGCGCAGAGGCAGAAAAGGATCCTGGAGTCATTATGGACTCCAAGATGAACATAGGCCGCCAATGTGGGGGCGCAGTCAGGAAGGCTAATTACACCTCACCATGCATCCTGGAGGGATGTGAGCAGTGGGGTCCAAGGAGGTGATCCTCCCCCTCTCTGTGACACTGGTCAGACCCCCGCTGGAGTACTGCATCCAGTTCTGGGCACTGTACTTCAGGAGGGATGTGGACAGCATAGAGAGGGTCCAGAGGAGGCCACTCGCATGATCAGGGGGCAGCAGGGCAGGCCCTATGGGGAGAGGCTACAGGACCTGAACCTATTCAACCCCCCACAAGAGAAGGCTGAGAGGGGATCTGGTGGCTGTCTATGAACTGGCCAAGGGAGACTAGCAGGCAATGGGAGAGTCCCTGTTCCCCTGAGCATTACTGGGAGTAACAAGGAATAATGGCCGTAAGTTGACTGAGAGTAGATTCAGATTGGACATCAGGAGACACTACTTC